AAAAAAGACACAGAAAATAATCCACCTCCTCCCTTTTCTTTGAACTGAAACTATGAAACTATGTCCAAGTTTTCTGGAGAACAAATCGCTTGGTTTCACTACAACTGCCAAAAGAACATCAGACAGTTTAAATTAAAGAGTCTCTTTGGGACTATTTTCTGAATAGCTGATATGTAAGTCTGATGAAGTCATGGAAATGAAATTATTTAGTGTTAAATAACACTTGCTTTACCCAGCTTTCCTTTCATACTGTGACTTGGAAGAAAGCAAATCTTTTATAGTCATTCTGATTTACCACAAAATTAAAATGTTCTTTCCTAACTACCCTTTTTATATATATAACAGAATGTGAAACACTAAATGAATACTTGGTAGGAAAAATTTATAGACATTAATAAAGTCTCTGTATGGGCATCTAACAGAAGTGGCCTTCTCTGGGTAGAACAGTCTTTCTACTAGTAAAGGTTTTAACTAGTATTCTTGAAGCTGTATTTGAACTCTCTGCAAGTACTGCCAGTATCTACCCAGTATGACGGTGGACTGCATGATATTCTTCTCAGATGAGAGATCTATGTCTATATATATTACCTTTTTAAGCCTATATATTTTAATCTGAAGCAGGGACTTGCAAACGCAGTGAGATATTCTTCCCACAGATAAGATATGCTTTGCCCACAATGACTGTGCAGGCTCCATCCTTTGGGGATACTCTAAAATTGTCCTAAGTAACATAGCCCTAAGTAACCCCCCTAAGCAGGAGGTGGACTAGATGACCTCAAGAGTTGACAACCAAACTCAGAAATTCTGTGATTTTGTGATACTTCACATTGATCAAAAGTGTGTTTTGACACATAGAATGTAGGTTTCTCTGTCAAAGTCCTATGTTAAGAAAAACACCTTCTCCTTCAATCCTTTTTAAGAATATATTTGTATCTAAGTAATGTAAAAACATGGTTGGCTCTTATTTGGAAGAATTATGGCAAACCATGAAAAAAAGGAAATGTTTGGTACTGTATTTAATTTTTTCAATTTATATAAAGAGCACTATTCTATAGTTACTACTGTAAAGCTGTGATGTGTACTAAATTTTTTTACTACAATTAATGGTGCTCTAAGAATTCATTATAGAATTGGCCATATGCCTAAAAATATCTGCATGCAGATGAGGTCTGCAATTTGTCTTTTGGCACCTTGTCTGAATCTTTCAAAGTGCTGAGCATGTCAGAGATCCCATTTTGTCTGTTACTTTGGTTTGTGCTTAGCAAATTCTGGAAACAATGATGTTTTTCTAGTTGTCTAAATATGGGTGCAGGAGACTTAAACTTTTTAAAAGTGCTTGCTTCTTTTAATCTTACTTTTGAATTGATAATATTAATCTACACAGAATATATTCCGTTGCCCATTATGAACCATTACGAAAGTTTTGTGTCTGAATTTGAAAAAAAACATCCTAGACACCCTTCAAATTTATTTTCCCACCTATAAGTTCTCTAACATTAGATTAAAAAAAATTAAAATACTTAGATTAGATTTTTATTAAAATTCAGTTTAATATAAATTAAACTATCAGAGCTTTAATCATACCAGAATTCAAGAGTTTTAAAAAGTAAAATCATCCAGCCTGGGATGAATTAGTAAAAGCTCCATAAACTGACTAGAGCCAAAGCTCACATCTCATCCTGTTTACCTTACTGATTTTCAGTGCATAAATATTTGATCCAGATTAACATTCTTCATAATACTAAAATAACCTTTCCTCATTCAGGCATAGACTTCATCTTCACTGCAACAGTTGCAAAACCCTCATTACCTTCAGAATTGTAGTACTAGAGTTCCAAATATATAAAAATGCGATACTGTATAATTTGTATGTTGGTTGTCTTTGGACAGTTTCTGTCTTCAGCGAACAGAGATGATGTCAGCAAGTAAAAATTCTTACCAAAAAAGCACTACTTTTTCCAGATCATAATGTTGTTAGAAGTTCTTACAGTCTAGCAACTCTTGTAGCATTTTTCCCATATAAATGCAAACAATTAAGGGTTTAATTATTTGTATTCAAAGCAGTGTTAATATATTCTGGTTGACATTACATTTATATTAGTAGGTTGGTATCTCTAATAAGTGTTTATTGCAGACAATGGGGCTCAAGAGCTATACATCTGTACTTTATGTAATGCTCCTGGAACATATTTTGTAAGAACACTTGGAGAACATTTAGATTGCTACTGACGGAAAAATTTGCCAGAGACTAAACTTCAAACTAAATTTACAACTTGACTTTTCAGCTTCATGTCACCTTCTAAAAACTTGTGTTATCCATGAATAGTAGACTCAATAATTTCTGAAAGCAATGAAGTTAGACTTTAAATGTTTCATATTATAAAGATAAAATGAATTTAATAATCAGGTATCTGTCAGAGGAAATTATTCATAATATTTTCCTATCTTGTACTAGAAACTAGATGGATATACAGTATGAAGTGTTAAAGTTATTTTATTACCCTTCTCATGTCTAACTCTGTTATGAATTCCCTGAATCTATTTTTTAAAAGGTTTTCAAAACCAGCTATAGACATTATGTTCGATTTTTTTCTTCAGACTTGTGTGAGTTTTGAAGAGCAAAGCATATAGCACACGATGCACACTAGTTACTGGAGAGACCTTGCATTATCAGTAAGCAGTTTACTACATCCTCTAGATTCAGCTACATCAACAGGAGCTCTCCAGCAGAGGAAGAGTTTATAAATGGGTGAATCTGAACATAGCCTTGCAAAATCAGCATCTAAATAATTCAGGGCTAAACTGCATTTGAGGTGTGGACTGGATCCACAGCTACATTAGCTTGTACTTCAGCTTGCAGGTCCAGTTCTTTATATGATGTACCTCCAGACAGATAATGTGTTGGAGGACCATTGATGTAGCGCAAACTAGTCCCTGTGCTGAAGACTCCCTCCCTGGAGAGCAAACCCTCAGACCTTTCTGGTCAGGACAGATCAACAGACAGCAAATTGAGATGAATGAGGGAGCCTGAACTGGCGTGACAGTGTGACAGAATTTAAATTGAATGGAGAAAATTGTAATCCTACTAGAAGCTCAAATGACTTTTGGCTCTTGGCTTAGAATTATTTCCCAGAAGGATTTTTTTATTCTTCTGTCTGGGAGACAGAAATTTAGAGGGGAACTGCGGGCTGAACTTACTATTCATTTCTGAGAAACTCAAGTGATGCCTATGCACTTCTGAAACCATGTTGTACAGTATGACCACATGTCCACCTACAAATGTTTTCCAGTGAAATTTGTGTGATATCAACAAAATGGGGAACTGGTGTTGGAATATTTCAGTTGAGACACCTCTCAACATTTTAAAGAACTGTATAAACTGATATTCCAGTTCTTGGCTATGATTTTTTTATACATCATAGCTTGCTTCTTAAAAAGCAATATGAAAATCTCTCGCAGCATTCGGAGTTTTTGTGTTAATAAGTAGTGTTACACAGTTTGGTGTTCAGTTACCTTGAAATATTTCAGGCCTCTGCTCCTAAGATTAACTTATAACTGATTAAAAATTTAGATTCTATTGCCTTTCTCACTTATGTTAAATTGAAAATACATATGTCTTTTTTATTTTGGTTGAATAAAACTAGGTCAGTTAGAATTTAAGTAGGTAAATAAATTTTTTTTAAAAATCTATTCACAAATAAGTAGAAAAGGTATAGCTCCACCCTTCCAACATCCTTGTTTACATTGAGCTTAAGAGCTTAGAGATTTTGGAAATAGAAGAGACTTCATTAACCAGTTTATGTATCTTAATCAAAATACAGTTTTGATTCGCACTAAAATATTTCTTTGGGACAAATCATGACTCCCTTACAGAAGCTGAACCGCCATCAGTTCCTATAGCACAGGTCAGAACTGTATTCTCTTATGGGAATGTTTAGAAATAGAATTTTCTACTATTTTACAATAACAACCCGTAGCTATCAACAATTCCCACCAGTCTACAAGTATATGTCTAAAAATGCATGCATATTAAAACATATGAAG